CTTCTCTCTACAACTCATCGCCAACACTCTCCAATGGTGCAAAGATGCGTCCAATGGCCCAACTTGTCGAGTTAGTTTGTAGAACATTTTAACTTGACTACAAACATCTTACCTTAGTGCATGTCTGCCAGTTTGATGCTCTTGATTTTAACAAACGAAAACTGAACTATCCCAGTCTCGAGCTTTTCTTTGAGAAATGTCCCGATCCACTTTAACATGCTTTGTACGATCATGTTTGGACTCCGGTATTGTGAGCAATACTAAATGGCTATGCTTTGTTATCACATTAAAAATAACTCCAGTTGCTGAGCAGGTGGGAAAACCAAATTCTGTAAGTAACTTCCTTAACCAAGTGGAGTTCGCAAAGTCCTCTATTCATCGCTCTGAACTCAGCCTCGCACTAGACAAGGCCAAGACCTTTTGTTTCTTACTCTCCAAGTACAAGGTTTCCTCTAACAAGGTGAATATCCCGAAGTAGATTTTCTGTCAGTTTGTGCCTCCAATCTGCATCGTGTAAACCACCTCAATATTTAGATGATTATTCTTTAGAGAACATATCCCTTTCCCTGGGGTGATTCTAAGTATTCGAAGTAATTCCGAACAACTGCATGTCATATGATCTTTTACTAGACAGTGCATGAATGTTCGGACTTACAACGCTTCACGAGCATATGTGATATCCGGTCGAGTATGCTTGCCAAATAAGATTATTTCCAACTATCCTTTGGATACCTCTTTATTCGCAGGTACGCTGATAAAATCTCTCGCTAGAGTGATGATTCTGAACAATTGGAGTGGGTCCTCACACATTACATTCAGCATTCCAGTATTGTGCGAGTAAATCCAAACACATACTTTCTTTGGGATGAAAGGATGCCTGCTTCTGACCGCATGCCTACACTCAATTCCGCCAAAAATACTTTCAATCCCACCTCAATTTTTTCATTTCAATTCGGGTCGCCAAATATTTTGGATGTTTAGAATCCCCCAACGTCATCTCCAGCATAGATTCATTCATCAACATTGAATAATCAATGCTGTTTCCTTCCTTGTAGTGTTTAGGAATAATGTATGATCTGAATTGCATCTGCTGAAACACATTGTCGGACGGCCATGGCTTAAATTCCGTCCAAACATGCACGGGGAGATTGCTTCAAAGCGTATAGTGCATTTATTCAGTTTACTATACGACTCCATTTTGAGAAAGACTGAAAATCTAGGTGGACTCCATATAATTCCTCCTTGAGAATCACATGAAGGAATGGCTTTCTTATACGTTCAAAACTGATGCGTGGACCAACCTCTAGATAGCTGCAAGAGACAATATACCGCTGACTGTGTTCAGCTTCGCCACTCTGGAGAAGAATGTCTTAACATGGATTCCTGTATGTGATAAAGTGTAGTGTGAAACTTTTAGCACAAGTGATCCAATCAATTATAACATGCTAATTTCACATTCAGTCCTCTGTATGGTCTAAAAGACCCTTTATGGGATTTTATCCCCTTTACACTTCCAAAGGAAGCCTTTAAATCTCAAAACAAGATTTTAAACTTTATGGATCCATGTACACTTCTAAAATCGAAGCCTTCAAATTCATTCAGAATTTATTAACTGTAACTATATGAGCTCACTTAAAATAAATAACAAATAATATTCAAATGTGCACAAAACTTATAACTGTAGATAAAATGAGAGTCAACACATCAAATTTTAATAGTTAAAAAAAAATAACTCATTAATGTGTCAAAAACAAGTACCTCTATCCAAGCACATCAAAAGACTGTAAAATACTCATGTGCTCAACATGTTTAACAAACTCAATTGGTCTAAGCCCTTTAGTAAGAGGATCTGCTAACATGTCTTTTGTACCAATGTGCTCATAAGTCACATCACTATTATCCACCCATTCACGAACTTTGAAATACTTCAGATCTATATATTTAGCACCACCAGAATTTTTATTGTTCTTTGTAAAGAAAACCGCGGCCATATTGTCACAATAAATTCTTATGGGTCTAGAGATGGAGTCAACTACTTGAAGCCTTGAAACAGAGTTCTTTAACCACACAGCTTGAGTACCAGCCTCAAAACATGCTATCACGTCTGCTTGCATTGTAGAAGATGCCACAAGTGATTGCTTGCAACTTTTCCAAAATCAATCATTTTTTTTCCTGGTAACCAAACAGAAGTCTGATTATATTTTTCCCCTCCATTTGATTCACAGCAAGAAACGTAGAGTAACAACTCTGACATAATAATTTAGTTTTGGTGTTATAGCAGGGGGTGCTTCTCAGGAAGTAATTTGTGCCTTGATGTTGCTTTATTATGATGTTTGGATTCTCTGCTCTGCCTTCTCTGCACTTTATACATCTCAACAAAGTATATAATTCCATGATTTAAAATAAAAATGGAAAAAATATCGCATAACTACCGAATTCAATGGTTTAAATTTAAAATGAAAATAAAAATGACAAATTTGTATAACTACCTACCCTAAAACAATGTGGCTTTGCTTTAACTTTAACTGATTACCATTATTATTTCAAAGACATTTTGGATTCGAAATTCTGATATTGTATGTTAATGCACTCAACTCAAAATTAATTGACAATGAGCGGAGGCTCTCAAGTATGTTAACCAAGTTTGGGTGACTTAGAGAGTAGATTTGAGATAAATCTCAACAATGTAACAGAGAGGGAGTGGGACATAGGATTCAGATTCCTTTGCTCCTTACCTCCTCAAGTACACCATTCTGTCAGAAAACTATTACTTTCATCTTGTTTGGACCATGCTATGATCACTTTCTGCCAAAAAGGGACTGCTTACTTCACTTATGGTACCAGCAACTTTCATTCGCACCTTTGGTTAGGCCATCCAGTTGGACCCTTATCTATTGTTTACTAGTTGAAATTTTACATTGGCAGCATTATTTTAAATATAATACATACTTTAAAACTCAAGTACGAACAGAGCTAGAGAAACAATTTAATCAAGTCAAGTAAGCTCCTCTCTCTCTGTCTCTCTGTCTCTCTCTCTATAACAGTTGGATTTCACCGTTTCTTCAAATCTGAAACTATTGTATTCAATTTCGTGATGTTTTATCATAAATCCTTGATGGAGGTATATGCACATTTCGATACATATGTTTCTTGGCACCTCTGTATTACCGAATTCAATTATTGAATAATTTTCTTAGCATCTCTGTTCTTGATTTCTGATGTTTGCTGCAGAATTCTTGATTTCTTGTTCTTGAATATTTTTCTATTTCCTTATTTTTGAAAGTTCTTGATGGGTGAATTTCAATTCATATATATATACACAATTCTCTACATATATATTGTTAGTATGAGATTATCACTCAATAATTTATGGGTTTGGGAATTTTACAAGCTCTGTAAATTCTGGAATCAATCTATCATACATTTACTGAATTTTTTCCCGTTGAATATTCATGACTCTACTTCTTGTAGCTTTCTGCAGAATTCTTGATTTCTTGTTCCTGCGTGTTTTCACTTTCCTTAATTTTATATATATATATATATATATATTTTCAGTTCTTGATAGATGAATATCAATAGATATACAAATTTCTATATTTACATACACATGTTATTTAAGATGTTATGTTAGTCTGAGATTATCAATCAATAACTTATCTTCTTCTTTTGATAAGCATAATTTCTGGGTTTGGCTTATGTTTTCTGAATATCATGTTACTAAAAAAATACTTGGAATTTCCTATATTTCATCACAAACTTGGTGAAACAGCGACTCAGAAATATATATTCAGAACAGAAAGGTAATTTCCTTCCCCTAGCTCTTCTTCTTTAATAGTTATTTTTTCTTGTGTCCAAACCAACTCAACAGAAAGGGAAATACACTAACCACAGACACAATAAACAAAGAGACATCAATTTTATCTTTAAACATTTCCATGAAGTTATATAATTGTCGAAACTATAAACTTCCCAGAGGAAACCAAAAATAAATAAAATCTAGTCTGCTTTTAGGAAAAGTAAGAATGTTCCCTTCCTAAAAAAAGCCAACTTGCCATTGAGTCAGCTTATCCTGCAATTTGTGTAAACCTAATGCACTCACTTAGCTATCAGCTAATAAGAAAACCACCATTTAATTAATGCTCTTTTGACATGCCAAGAACTGTTAATCATTTGTCACTTACAGCTTTGTGCCTTGCTTATGTGATCTTTTCCGTTTCTTGCTCCTGGTTCTTGCGGTTTCACTACCATCATTAGCTGTCCTGCATCTAGACTACCACATATTAATGTCATGATGATCAGCAATAGAAAAGTTGAAGAACAATTCTGTTATTTCGAAAAAGTAAACTATATCCAATTTGCTGGTTATCATCTACCAGAGGATACTTTATAGATCGACATTTCCAAGTCTGCTTTTGCAAACAATATTGTACATTAATCTAAACATATCACAGTTTGAACTCATTTTGTATCCATTTTAAAGTTGCTGGCTTCTAGACCCTATATAATCCATGATTGAAACCATTTCCCTAATTCTGAAGCTATTTTTTACAAGTAATTTTGAAACATTAGCAAGCAGAAGCGCGATTTTTGATGGGCAAACTGGCAAGGTTCAGAATAAAGAGCCTCCTCCAAAATTATGTCACAATCATTATGCACCCCAGTCAAGGATCTGCATTGCTCCAAAGTTCAAAACAAATCTGTGCATCACTATGATATCGACCTCACTACGAAACACTATGAACCATAGTATGGCCAGGATCACCAAACATCAAATTATTGCCCTCAAATAATATAAAGCAGACAAGAAAAAGGGAAGACTGAAGAGTATAAGCATTCAGAAATAACTCACCTTCTCTGAAACAAGATTTGCTTTGGCATGGCCACAATTCTTTTTCTTCTTACATGAGGGTGGGTTTGGACCCTGCAAACTCCAAGAAAAGTAGATCCATGAAGATGGGAATACCACCTTAGAAATTTGAACAAAGTAGATCCAAGAATGATAGGGTGGTGTAATATAGAACTACGCTTTGCAATGATCAAAGACAAAAAATATGAGACAACAGCGAACCAAATATTGCTTCCACCACTAGTCTATCCATTAGGGAACTAACAACCACTTGGTAATTAAATCTTTTCATATTTTAAAGTAATTACTTTAAGCGTAATTACATCAACACCCCCTCAACTACTAGCGAATAACACCTTACCTACCTTCCCTCATCAATGAACTTGTGCATTTTGGCCCCATTTAATTATAAAAAACTATACAAATGGCCCTTCTAGAACAGGGCCTGAGGTTGAAAGTGATACATTTTTATAGTTAAGGGGGGATCAAAATGTACGTGTCATAGATGAGGGGGTAAGACGAGATTTGCAAATTGAGGAGGTTTTAATGTAATTAACCCTTATTTGTATTAGGAGTAAGAACACAAGATTACAAGTGTGCACATCCATAAATTTTTCTAAGCATAATACAATTATGCCAAAGCTCTTATAAGTTTCTACACAAAGCTTTGTCCAATAAAATCAGGGATAGAAATAAAATCTAAAATATCAAATAGAATTAAAATCCTAAATCGCTTAAAATTCCTAACAAATCTAAATTCCTGGTTATCTTGGTTTAAAAAGTATAATTAAGCACAATTTTATCATAAAGCCGAGTGTGATCTAATAACACGCAAATAAAATCCATAAGTAGGATATCACACCAAATACTCTGGATTGGATTACCCAATCCTTACCCCTCCAATCTGATGTTTGCACTTTTCAACTCTGGACAAACTAATCCTGTTACCAAAATAATCCCACAAGAAGAAAATAGCAATCCAAGGGAGGGTTAGGTTTGGGAATCCGGGGACTAGAGGGGAAGGGATAAGGTTGTCCAAATTAGTGTTCTACCCTATGTTACGTGGAAAGGGATCGAAAACATGGTACGATAAGGGTAGATTTGTTTAGATTATATTATTAGAATTTAAGATACTTCTAAAGTAGCTTTCTTTAACAATTAGGCACCCAATTAAATAATGTTTTTTTTCCCCTTTCAAATTAGTCATGTTACAACTCGTTTGTATGAGCAATATGACCCATTTTCTTTTACATTTTATGATACCAAAACCCCTCTCTTCTTATATTTTAGTTTATTATATTTCATTTGTTTTTTCTGCTAATGTAAACTTTAAAGTACACGTTGGAAAATATTTTGGGATTGCTTTATAGTTAAAAAGATAGGGTGATGCTATGGTACATTTAGATGTACCATACATTTAGTTATGAACTTATATGATTTTATATTATAACCAATACCATATTAGTCATAACTACTATCATATGATCAAGCCCAGCCATGTTTGGAAACCCCCTATGAGAGATTGTTCTAAGACGTAAGAAATCCCTAGTCAACCCATCATTGCCACCTCCACCACCACCGCCTTCATTACTTCCCCTCATTGCCATCCCTTTGGCATTACATGGTCTAATTTATTTATTTTTTATCACCCAAGTAAAGAGAGAGAGAGAGAGAGAGAGAGATAGCTTAATCCTCCAAGGTGACCATAAGGGACGAAAGAGCAACAAAAAGCACAACAAAAAAGAAGCTCGAAAACCTGTGAAAGTTCAAAGGGAAAGAAATGAAATCCAGATCAATTGGGCATACCTGGATTAAACTTTTGCAGGTTGCTCAGAAGCCTAGAGAAAGCAAGCTGATTTGCCATTTGCTTAGATGAACCTAGACGAGTGTTCTTACGGGCAAGGCAAGTTGTAACATTGTTACACCATCCTCCTCCCTGAACCTTCTTTGTTGTTTATTGCTTTTTCTACAAGAGCATGAAGATACATGAAACAGAAAAATGCCTTTAAAAAATTATTGTTCTTCTGTTTCTAGGGTCTTTGATTTATTTATTCATTCCAAACTAGAGTTTATATGGGTTTATGTATGGTATGTATGGTCATGCTACTACACCCCTTTTGAGATATGTACCATATGCAAATTATAACATTTGGCCTAATTTCCAAAGGATTTACACTCTAACATGTATCCTAATTAATATGCTATATACTTATTAGAGTTCTATAAACCCTCATGTGTAATTGTAATTATTTTATATTTTTTCATCACTAATGATGCCCATTCATATATGCTATTTTCCCACCACCTGATTAACTCTTTTACAAATAACAACTTCATTTTTGAATTTTTAAAGTTTTGACATGTTGGTTTATGTCTTTTAATTTTTCCCCCTCTCCCTTAGTTTTGTGTTTTGGTTGAAATGCTTCATTCCTTATTTTTGGCAGGTAAAAGGAGAGCCCAATACCTCTTACATCTGTGCTTATATTTCGATCGACGGAGTACACTATAGCAATTGACTTCTGGTTTGCTGGTTGTGTTGTTGCTGAACTACTTCTTCGACAGGTACATATTTTTTCCTACAAGGTCCTCTATGCTTCAATATATTTAAATTATATGGTATGCGTGATGGCCAAATTAAAAAGCAAAATATTTATGATATAACTTGTACAGTCACACCCTCATTCATCACAGTTTTTGTATTAAAAAAAAACTAAGACTAAAAGTATAAGGTCAAAGTTAAAAATTGTGACCTTTAACCAATTTTGTAGTAGTGCTCATATATTAGTATTATTTATTATGAATCTAAAGTATCAATGATGGAATAAATGTAAATAGTAAAATCAAATAATAAGCATATCATTAATACAAGAGAAGCTCTATTCACAACCCAAAATTCAATTGTGAGTGGCAGTGGGTATAGCAGTATGCAAGGGTCCTTAGTGCATCAAATCTTTAGTTAGTGTATGTATATTACTGAATACAACTGTATCAAATCATTCTCCCATTTTCTAATTTCTTGTATTTTGTATTCTAAAAAACAAATTGCTTCCCTAAACATTTATAATTTTCAAGTGCTTTATGTGGTTCAAGCCATCCCCAAACCCATGCAGAGAATAAAAAAAAATTAGCAAGATAAAATATGGGAAAGTGAACCACAACATAGCTAAAACCAAAGCAAGTAAAACCAGTTAATAAAGATATTCAACCTTCTGACTGTACACCTAAAGTGAGACTTGAAGCCGCAAAGGAGCTATACATAACCATGACATCGTTTTTTATTTTTTTCTACAATAGTCCCAAAAATAAAATAAAAAACAATGTCGTTTTTATTATCAATTCGTATGGTGCCAAAATATTTGGCTCCTTTTTGCGACAAAAAAATTTCCTTACCAAATTACAAATTTTGTCCAAAAAAATTAACTTCTTTAATCTATTTTTTATGCTAATGTGACCTAAGCTACTGGGGTATCATTTTTTGTTTATGATTAGAATTTTTTTTAGTGTCTTTCCTTTTTACATTGGAAACATAGTCTTTGTTAACTACATTATTATAAAACAAATCCATTCATGTGTGCATGTCGTGCATTTGATGAATGTACTATAACCTTTAAGATTTTTGTTTGTTTGTTTTTTTTCCTAATCAAAGATATTATGAGTTTATTTTTCTTGTCTTTCTTTACAAGGAATTCTGATTGAAGCCTAATGGATAAGCCGACTGATCCTCCAAAGCGCCCGATCACTCCATTCATTTTCTTTTGGTATTTCGTTAATATCTATTTGTATGTAGTTATATATTTTCCATTATACGAATTCTTATATTCATTTTCATATGTTTATAGCCAAGAACAATCAATGGAGTTAAAAAAAACCCAAATGAAAGTAGACGTGAAGGTAAGTGCAACGTATTCTTGTTGTTTGTAGTATTCCTTTTGTACTTGTAAGCTTGTATGTAATTGTTCATATGATTTTATGCATGTAATGTAGGATATTGGGGACAAATGGAATCAACTTCCTGAAGAAGAAAAAAATAAGTATATACAAATGGGAAAGCTGCAATCTGAACAATATGCCCAATTAAAAACTGTGGTCCAACAAAAGCCTCCCAAAGTAAAAATTCAAACCCGGATTGAGCTTACATCAATTTGTAAGATTATTAGAAGGTTGGACAAAGCACAACAATAAGCAGTGAGTGATATGGGGTTTCATGGCATCCTAAGCCTTAGGTGCACACACATAGATCATGACTTGTGTCATTGGTTAGTTCAGAACTTTGATCCTTCAACTCATTCATTGAATGTCCACGGTCTTCGAATGCTTCTCACCATAGAAGATGTTCATGAGTTGATGGGATTACCTTCCAATGGTCTACCTGTGAAGCTAACAGAGTCCGTAGATGAAATTACAAACCTATGTGACGAACTTGCGGTGAAGAATAAATTTTTTCCGTTCACATCTCTAAAATCTTATCTGATTGAAACAAAAGATGCTAGAACTGAATTTAAAAGGAAATTTGTCTTATACATCATATAGCGATCCCGGTTTCCCTTTTCATTAGTTGTTGTGTACATCTCGTTTACATCCTTTACTCTTTGTATTTGAGTCTTGGGTTGTGTTGGGCAGATTTGAAACAGGTTGGTTGAGCTTAGGAATCAAGTGTAGTTGCCCAGATTTTGGCCTTTCCGCTCGAGCGGGAAAATCACCCTTCCAGTATTTTCTCTGCAGGGTTGTCCGCTCGAGCGGGAGTTTGTGTGTTACACTCGAGCGGGGAGTTGGACGCTCGAGCAGGGACCTGGTTCTGCAAAAGTGCTGGGAGTGCA